GAGTATGGCTAGTCGTTAGTAGGCACTGACATATATGTGCGCTTGACAAAAGATTTTGATCGTCGACTTAGATCTAGATCTGTTCACACCGGTTGACTGTAGTTAACGATAAGAGTAGAATCTATTTCTATAACAATTATGGTCATGTGCGCTCCTTTAGAACCTAATCCAGAATTAACAGAACAATTATACCGATAACCGACGTATCCCTGTTTACACGTTATCTTCATCCCGCATGCAGGAATCTAAGATCAAATGCAAAACGACTGCACCTAGATATTCTGAACTACAGCGAGAAGCTGTATCAAGAGGTCTCTGGAACACGTTTAGCGGGGCGCATTTTGTTCGCTTATGGTTTCCCCACGTATAGTTGCTCGTCGGGCCAAACGTTTTTAAATCGAGCGGTTCTAAAGAGGACGAAGAACAAAGGATTAGCGGTTTAGGGCGAAATCATACGTTCGTATTATAGGACCGCTTTTTCCCAGTCCATTTTCTAGCCGCTCAGGCTCTTTAGGCGCCGTTGTGTTCCTACGAGACGCAGGAGAAACACTGATCTTAATAGCAACAAAATCAGTATCTGTAATGACAGCCGATTGCGTGTCATCTCTACTAATCGTTATCGAAGTGGTAACAGCTGCGCTTTCGGCGACTGCTACAGAAACCCGCTTCCAGTATTCATCAGCACTGCTCATTAGGGAGCGCTCTTTGTGAGGAAGATAAAATTCGAATGTCTTCCGCCAATAAATAACAACAGTTAAGTGACAACGGTATTTCAATAATAGTTCTTTCGCGTTTGCGGATTGGGCGACATCAGCTCGGACTGCTCGCCGTATGATTAGACATAGGTAATATGCTGCTGACAGCGCAAAAGCCGTTAATTTTGTTCAGAAAATTCGCACAGAATTGCCCTTATCGCCATAACCGTTCAGCTGGCGCACGCTATACTAAGGCAGCCTATTTCGGCAAAGGCGGCTATCGACCGACGTAGCTAAATGTGTTGTTGAGAAAAGCCGAAATCGTTGAATACGCGTTGCTGAATCTTTGCCGAATCTTGTTGGAAACTCATTAAATTTGTGCGGTGTTTTTTTTTTATTTTTTAATAACCGGCCAAGTCAGAGTCGCGCACGGTTAGATGATGCGAGAGCCTAAAGTTGCAATTTTCACTTGGCTACTCTGTAGGTCACGGCTATAATTTATAACTTGATTCAACATGTATGGTAATAGTATGGGTCTTATCAAAAATTGGTGCGATTTTAAGATATCCGGTCTGTGACTTTTCTCGTAACTGTCGATGCGTTTCATTCAATCGCTTACAACTGACTGACTGGCCTGCAGTCAGTGGCTATCTGTCATGTTTGCCTTACATAGCTTCAACCGGTTATAGTGAGTAAGGTAAACGTATCGACGTGCAGACGTTCGTTTTAGATCATGATGGTAATAATAACTAGAGGGTTTCTTAGTTAGCTTTATTTGTTATGTGATTTTCTCAAATTGTGCGCCATATCAGTATACTTGTAAAATTCAAGCTAAACGACAGCCTTACAATAGTATCAGATTGTCATCATTATCATTGTCTTTACGGTCGGCTTCAGTTTACAGGAATGGCAGCAGATACGATTTCGACTCATCCGCTGGCTGAGCCCTATTTTCAAAGTAATTTTACTTTCGGGGCAAAACCTCTGTCCTCCCATCGTAGGGCGGTATTTGGCATCGTCTGCATTCAAACATCCGATACGAGATGAATCAATGCTTTTTAAACGAGCTTTCTTTTGTTATTAGATGTGCATTTTTCTATCAAATACATCTATGTATATAAGAACCGTGCGTATGCACGCTTCCTTTACGTGGCTCGCCTCCACTAAACGTGTGTGTGTGTGTGTGTGTGTGTGTGTGTGTGTGCATATAATAATCACGCTGGGTTGTAACCCTACAAACTGAGATCGCTAAAAAAAAACTTGGAAGGGGGAAGAGCGATCAATCAAGAAAACGAGCTGTGACAAATGTAAACCAGTTGCATTTGCCTCCGTCCCTGAGATTCGATCTAATGGATCTTTGGTTAAAGACTATTGACTACTGCGGCGTACTTGTTACCCACCGAATAAGAAGTACCATCGCTCGCGGTCATTACGACACCACCTGTACATACTACATGCTAATAACGGGATTGCGAACTTTGCTTGCAACATATCTGCCACTTCTGAAAACATCGGCGATGCTACCGTAACCGAGTGGCCATGACTGCTTTATGGGTATCATGTCGTTGAGTCGCATTCGACATGGGCGAAACATGGGTATATTTCGTCATTTTTTTAAGGACAAGGGGAGGACAGAGCAGGGTAACGGGGCTCAACTCCAGCTTCAGTAACATTGGGACGTTCCAGACGTAACAGGTGGCACAGCTCGATCTGGCTGAATTTAGGGATAATAGCAAGAAAACTTAACAAACACATAGCACAAAGAAAAGCAAGCTAAGATCAATGAGAAAATCATACGACATTTTGCTACTGTTGTTCTAATGCGTATCGCTGTAGAAGGGTCCGGGTTGAAAAAAAAACCATCACGTTCGATGTAAGATCAAATTGCGCCTTTGTGAACGCTTTGATTACAACGACGAGGTTATAGTAATGGATTCAGGGACTGAGCTTAATGTGCTCTAAACATTGACTGGTGGGCCTACATGGGTATAAAATTCAGTGTGACCAAAATCCTGACCTGCGATTTTCTTGAACTATGATATACAACCTAGATAATTCCTTTTGATTAGTGCCTAGTGCAGTACGAATCATGGCTGCCTTTCGAAAACCAAGCAATTACATTGCTCGTGCGCATAGAAGGTGTTTATCATAACCAATAAAAATAATAATAACAAAAAACTGAATATATGCTAAGACGAATTAAAAAAAAAAAAATGGAGAATCTAGCATCAATTAATAATCGGGAACATATTCTGATATCATTATGTAAAAAAAAAAAAAGAACTTTCTAGATTAATAATATCTCGTTGGTATCGTGTGCCAAAAACTTACCAATTCATAAATAACAAATGAAAAATCGCATCAAGACCCAACTGGCTGATATGTGCATCATTTTCTTACAAGTTACCTTTAACTAGCATGATCTTTACAGAAGATGCCATCATTGTTTTTAATATAGCTTGGCGGCTCACATCTAAACGGGCGACAATCATCAATAAACACTTTAATCTATTTTACTGGACGCTGAACTTAACATAATCAGGTAAGCCCTCGGTATCAAGTTATCTGATAATAACTTTCACTTAACATTACAACCGTAAAACTCGTGTACACATGAAGAATGTCAAGGCCCGCAACTCTGGCGCTTAAAGTATTAAACTTGTTTATTCTTCAAGCTCGAAAGTTTTAAACCAAGAACGATGCTAACCTCGTTGTTATTGCCACTTCTGCTAGTTCTCAGAAGCTTTCAATATCCCCAAAAACTCTCTCAGTATACTATTCTCAATTCGGGGAAATATATATCAAGCGAACTTTGTGGTAGAAAAAAAAACTCAGTAGCTCAGAACATGTCCGATGCCACGCTCATGATCACACCCACGCCATGCACACGTCGCTGGCCAAACAGGTAAAGCTGATGTACGGAGGGGTAAAACTACTTGACATATGTCACTTCGATTACCGGGCCATTTTTTCTTCTCACTATTTTGGTGGGCGGAGGAGAGTTTTACAGTGCTACAGGACTGAGCAGTGTTGCGGGATCTTTTTCGGCTTGTCTCAGGTGGCCACCATCAGTAAAAATCCGTTTTGGGCCTTGAATTTCGTGTGTGATGCTGAGGCGTCGCGAAGCATGAACACGAAATCTGTCTAAATGCTGCGCACAAGTGACAAAACCGAATAACAACAACAACAACATTAACAATAATGGCTGCCAGCCACATTGAATCGCTATTGCCATTGTCCTAATCGTCCACGTTGCCTAGCCGTTTTCCCGTTTCAGAACGAAAACTGGTATTCTTGTTGGATTGAACACTGAGCAATTCCGCTCAATGCAAGTAACAGTTGGTTTTGACCAAAAAAACAAATACCTGGAAACCCCTTGCCCCCATATATATACAGATATATAATTGTAGGTAGTTTATATGAGTGTTTTGTATTTAAGAGGAGAGTGTGCTTATCTATTCGTATGCATGCGCAAATGAAAGGCATCGATCGTCATCTACGAGCCTCAGTGCCTTTATCCAAAATCGCTCTTGGCGAACCGGTTCCTCTTCTGACTGGTATAAGCAAATAATTAACCTGTTTCCCAGCGGGGGGTGGATGAAGAGCACAGATCAAGCTAAAAGTACCAATGGCGTCGATAGCCGTAGTAGTAGTAGTAGTAGTAGTAATTTGCCGATAACGCCATTACGTTGTTCTTCTACCGCGGCATCAGAAGCGATGGCGCCGGTTGTTAAAGCAGAAACTGAACTTATTTTAATCCTATTTGTAACAACAGCACATCTATCATATGACGACTGCGCGCTTGAATTGTGGGGTCGCGGCCGATTGCGCGCGCCGATAGTGGCCAGTAGCAACCCGTCGTAACCAGGCGTGCAACCATGAGTCGGCATCAATCTGGATAAAGAATAGTTATTTTTCCCTAGGAACCGTGTTCTTTTAGTCGTTAATGCTGGCACAGTGTTATCTATCAGGAAACCCTATCTTCCACAGATTATTCCCTTGTCGACAATGCCTGTTCTACAACTATTAAGGCAAAAAAAAAAAACAATTAAGATTTTGGTAATCTTAGAATTAGCTTAACAACAACTTCTACAATTGAATAACTAATATTACGCGTCCGATGGAATATTCTCGACTGGTCTCTTGGTCTGTTTGAGATACGTGCATGGATGTAACAGGTTCCATTATATGGGAACATTACAATAGTGAAAACGTTTTATTGAAAACACGACTGTCATCGAAGCCTGGCGTATTAAAGATGTGAGACTAAGGGCCCTGGAGATATAAACTGTGAGTTCAATTTACCTGGAAAATTTCGTAGATGCTTCGAGGTTCCCAACTGTAAGCCGCATTTATCGGTGCTCAAATCTATGTGTGGGTGTGCAGTTGTGTACATGGTATATAAATAACTTCTACGTAAAGTTTATTTCACCATCTCATTGCCATGTTCCAGCGAGGAGACTACGGTACGGCACAAGTTTTCGGTAACCGACTGCGCGTTACACTGTTCAAGGCCAGCACACATGCACATGCACATGCGTACCCACACACGCACGCACATAGATACACAAAGAATGATGCACATTAACGATATGCACAATAACCACGACCAATCCACTAAATAGAACATCCTCAGTGATACGAGCACACGGCATGATTCCTTATGGCTGCGACTCAAAATAACCATCTCATCAGAATGCGCACAGAATTTGTCATGCACTCACTGTATAACTGAATGTTATGGCAACGCTGTTAAGATGTTTTCCAGAGAGAATCTATGGTGCCATGTTAGCTCATCGTCAACCTGCAATCCTAACGCAATCACACGCTTTTCACGAACTTTATCGTTCTGTGTCCTGCGCACTTTCAGCAGATCGTGGAACCATCAAGATCCGCTTAAGCCCATTCCGGCGCACCAGTATTTTGTAGAGTAAGCAACTGAGATAAACAAAATGAATATATCTCTTTTCTACGATTGCCGAACCACTTAAAACGAGAGCTGTCAATCACCTACAGCTGAACGTACTCTCTAGGGTTGTCCGGTCTGATTTTTCCCCATAGAGGTCGCTGGCTAAATGGATAGCCTTCCGATAAGTAGCTATTCATACAGGAACTGCTTGATTCGGTGTCACTCAGTGACGTCTTTCATCGACACGCTCTCAAGTTATTGTGCCGGCAGCTGTTGCGAGCCTGACGTGTCCCACGCTGGCCTACTCGTCATTTATGTTGTTCTAGTGCTCACAATTGTCCTCCTCGTCGTTGACGGCTAGTACGAACGATGTTTAATTTGTGTTGTTGTGTCGGCTTGCGTTACGTTGCGTCGTGTTGTTACATGTTGTTTTTGAGAAACCCGAAAGGCCCCGATAGACTCGATCAGAGGATAAGCGTCCGTTCGTCTGATCTCTGTCCTCTGTGGCCACGAGTGCAGCCGCAACCGAATCAGCTCCCGTTGCCGCTGTGGCTATCGAGATCAACCAGTTACGATTTGTAGTTGTCGAATACACCGCGTCGAGTCGAGCTTTGCCTGGAACTCCGAGCCATTGGTCGCCGTCGCCATTCGTTTGCCGGCCGCTGTTCATAGCCGCCACTCGCGCAGATATCGTTGATGGCTTCTCACTTGTTGGTTTATTCTCAACGCATTCCGCTTCCCCCATCCGCCCCACCAATTCACGCTAGAGATAAATGTGAATGTCTCAAACAGGTTTGACTAGTCATCAACATATTGTAATGTAGGTCCGACTGGCGGCATTCGTTGTCAATGTATCGCGCGTCGTCTTTGTTGATCGATTCGTTGACGCCAATGCTGCTGCTGTTGCTGCTGTTAATGTTCGTGTTGTTGTTGATGCGGTCAGGGCATTCGATTCTTTGTGGTTTTCCAAGCGCTCTCCGTAACGATCTGATGTACTACTCCACGTCCCGTTGTACTTAGGCTGCTGCCGTTGCTTCGACGGTCGCGCTTATGCAGAGTGTCTCTCCTATTTTTTTTTTCGTCACTTCTCTCCTGGGCTGGGTCGATGCCTCCTATGCGATGGGTCAACCAACGAATGGCTTCTTGTCAAGCTCCGCCTCCATGCCTCTCGTTATGGGGCTAACGCACGATGGGTTAAGACTAATAGTCTGTTGGTCGCTTATGGCCAACCTTCGTGACAATGTCCCGCTATTGAGATTACAGATACAGGATAAGCTTAGACTGACCCTGGAGTTTCACTTAATTTCATTTATTCGGCCGTGTGAAATATGTCGGACTATTAGTTTATAACCAATTCGGCCCTGTTCAGTCTTCCCTTCGATGCCTTTTCGTAATCCTGATTTATTCATCACTGGGTCGTCGCATTCTCGTTGCTCAGATGCTGACATCCATTCAAAGAGACAACCTCTATCAAAGCCTCTATTCACAAGTTAGCGACCCATTTTTTGCTCATTCTTTACACGGCGACTCGCGTAACAATCATAACACTGCAATAGAGCATTGCATTTTCCTCACGACGTCGTCGCTGCCGTACTCGATTGGAATTCTCGAAAAGCTCAACCGATGCCACCACGAATCGACAGGGGGGCGAGGGGGTGCAACGGAGGCGGGGCGGCATTTCTGCCCTCAGCATCAACTCCATCCGCTAAACAATGCATTAAGTGAAAATGCGAACCCTTCTATGACATCGTGGCCTTCCCTCGAGAAAACGGCGTTACGCCGAGAATATCTATTCGGCGAAGCGCTAAAATATACCGCAAATGTTTTTCTCTCTCTCCGAGTAGACTCCGATACAGCATGGCTTAATGATAAACTATCGCTGGTGCTAGTCGGGTCAGCTCGTATTTTGCTCGCATCGTAGGCATGTCAGCAAACTGTAAAAGGTATGGTGTAATAACAAGGACAACAGCATCAACACAATCATCGCCTGCCATTAGATATGTTTCGTTCGAGATCGATAGTCAGTAGACCGCAGCAGAGAGGACACCGGTCAGAACAGCGAAAAATGCTTGTGGACCCGCAATCTTTACTCCGTCTGTTGCCGCCGCCTGACATCCAGAAATCGGGTACACAAAGGAAACTTGAGACGCCGCAATCGCGTTCTCTGCCTATATATATATATATATATATATATATATATATATATATATATATATATATATATTATGTAAGTATGTAAACATAGATATAGAAACGGCCGCCAAACGCCGCGAAAATTTAAAAATCATGAGGCAGCATCTCTATACAAATATTGGTCTGCATATATATATGTACCTGCGCGTGTGCCTTCGTCCTATCGCAACGCGATCGCCAGCAAGAAATTTCGTCCCACCTCGAGATTTGTCGTCAAAAAAGGCGACGATATTTGTTGGAATGCCCTCCAGCCCCCAACCCGCCTGTGCCACTGCGGCCTGTGCAGAATAAAGATCGTTCGAATGGTTCAATGTATCGTTCTGGCCTGTTGTATTTATGTGATCTTCTATGTGATGACGGATATCGGGCATAGTCGCCCCAGCCAGCCCGAAGAGTCCGTGCGTACTATAGAAAGCTGACTACTGAAACATTAGGCTTATGGGGTTTACATTGGATATGCCACTCTTCGTAGACGATGTTGGCCAAGCGTCAATTTTTAAATATAAGCATCAACACATCTGACCGTGCGCACCGGAAAAAAGATAAAGTCAAAATTATAATACAATTGCTGATAACGCTGGTGCTGCGTGTAGGAAAGGCGAACTCAATTGCCTTTCAGTACAAACCAAAAATGTGTTAACATTGGGGAAAAATTGTATTGCTTAGAACGATCGTCCCTACACAGTCTATAGATTTTTTCCTGTCTGAAATTGTTCCTGTCTAATACAGGAAAAACCCGCCAAGCAAACGATAAGTCAGTGTCTTAGGTGCTACTTATCCTATTATCCTTAGGTCTAATTTGACATTAAGCACAATTGAACATTATCAGCAGAGAAATTGTTACTCGTTATCGCACGTTCAAGTGGATACCGACTCCACACTTCCAAAAGCTAGTTTCTGTACTTAATTAAACGCGTTTGATAATTATGAATAGTCAGTGCACACCCAGAATGAACGGTCGGTCGTAGCGGTAGTAAATAGACCTATCTATAAGCGGTTTGGGGTCCAATGAGGGCAATGCTGAGAGGCTTCAGCAGTCTTCAATTAAATGATCAATTTATTTATAATGATGCATATGTGTATGATAAAAGTACCTAGCTAACTATCGGAGGAATAGGGTCATGTTGTAGGACGGATTTTCTAGACGTTCACGTCCATTATATAATAGTTGTGTAGCTCTACAGATGCGGATAGATGCATACATTGGCTGTGCACGGTGTGCATTGTATGTCGGAATGAGGCAGTAGTGGCGTTACTTTAACCAAAAAAAAATTTTGTCCTCGACATGGCTGAGCACTAACCGGTGAACAGTCGACTGATAGTTGCCATCTGTTCTTATAAATTGTATGGTAATAGGTGATTTTTTATTCAGTACAACATCTTTGTTTTTTAGCTGCACTGTCAGGATGCGCACTGTCAGGAATGACTTCATTGTGTCCTCATATACTGCTTCAATAATGAATAAAAACTCAAAACAGGTACCTGTTCACAGTTCGTCTGAATTATTATTCAACAAGATCATCGGTTCAGCTCCATGTCAGGAAAGACCCGATTAAGACCTGAAATAGCATGTTCATGTATACTACGAAGATCTAGCAGGCTTAATAAAGTTTGCTTATTTTTATTCATCCTAAACTAGCTTGTAATAAACTTTGCCGTTAGTTAAATGTGTCTAACGTACGCCTCTTTTACCCCGGTAACTCCCACCCCAGACAAACGACCCGAAGCACCAAAAAATTGAGCTTTGTTGGTTTCTACCACTGCGATTATTCCTGCTCCTGCTGCTGCTGCTGCTGCTGCCGCCGCCGCCGCCGCCGCCGCCACCGCCGCATTTACATACAACGCAATAAATTAAAATCAACAACATTTGTCAGCAATACTGTCACCGTATGTTGTTAGACGAAGACATGGACGGGGTTAGAAGTCAAAAACCGCATCAGTTAGGACAACGGTAGCGGTTGTCGCAAATGTACGCAACTTCATGCATTGCATTGGGCACTCTGCCGTCGGTTACCTCCCGTTTTTTCAGTCAACCGCGAGCAGGCGACGAATAGACCACAATTAAATTTCTCATTTACGCCGTTCAAATCGGCGTCGTCGACGTATCGTGTTGCCTATGGGCGTATAAGCCGATGAGGCATCCAGCAGGCAGTGATTCTGTACACGTTCAGCTATCGGCAACGTGGTGTTCCAGCGTCCAGCCGCGTAAGCAGTGAATATATGCACATAATGAAGGTAGCGCCACGAATCGCCTGAGCCGGTTTGTCTAGCCGACAAAACAACCGCCGACAAAACAACCACCGACGTTAAGAACGGCAGCTAGCTTTATATATACCCTAGATACAGCGTATAATTGTGAAGGTGAAATTAATTAATGTATTTCAATAACGGCCGACTAATTGACAGTGATTAGTAGGGGCCAGTGTACAAGACCACTAGTTAAAGCAGGAGAGGCACTCGCTGGTGCTGGTTCACGGAGTGCTATCTTTACCCGTGCCCAGATTGTTGCTGCCAACAAGAACCATTATAATATGATTGCAACAATCTAACCCCCGTCCATATAATGTACACTATAGAAGGATGACATCACACTGATGGTGTCGACCTCATGCGAGAGCCACATAATTCTCTGTCTGATAAAATTACAATGCACAAACAACTACTGCACAAAACGTAAGGCATTTTTTTTTAAAACTTTGTTCAGTGTCCTATATTATACAGGTGGCTTAAGCTATCTGTCTCTAATTAATCTCAATCCGTAGACAGAAAAGGAAACTTGCTTAAATCAAAGCTGCCGTTCGTTGTTGCTGGAAGACGTCATGCACATATCGACACCCTTACTAATTGAGGAAAATCTGGCGGTAGGCCCAACGTGAAAAGCTTTACCGATATATATTGATGGCACGGGGGTGTCGAGGGTCTTCATCGAACAAAAAGGGGGATCAGAAATACAGATGATTCGGACTCCTTGCTAATATTTGAACCATCACAGATCGATATATCAGCGTCACAGTTAATTTTAGTGTCACGTGGAGTTCGCAAGCTTCAGCTATTGAGGCACCGTCTTACAATCACCTCTACGCCAATCACTGCACACATTTCTGCCTAATACTTCATCTGTAATCGAGCACATTTTCGTCACAATAAAAGAGCACGAGATTGTTAACAATACCAATGGGTAGAGCTAGTGGCAACCAAATTAGCTTAGGCTGCAGCGAGTCGAGTGTCTACGTGTGGCATCTCTGGATGTTGGATGATTACTAGCAGGGTGGGCTCGTGTTCTGACACGTGTTTACTTTGCCGCTGTAAGAAGATCGTCTGAGAGTTTGTGGAGAGGCAGGATTAGCTGAGAATCAGACAAAGCTGTCTATTTCTCGCGTTTGAACCACGGTTTCAGTGACACAGTGCTGTA